TCTAAATAAGAGGAAGGAACCTTCTAAAATGAACGAAACATATCTTTGGCATCTAAGACTTGGTCATATTAACCTTAGGAGGATTCAAAGGTTGGTAGCAGACGGGCCCTTTTGGTTGTTATAAGTCGACGCTTTTCCAACTTGTGAGTCTTGCCTGGAAGGTAAAATGACTAAGAGGGTTTTTAGTTCAAAGGGGCATAGAGCCGAAGAAGTGTTAGGGCTAGTTCATTCAGATCTATGTAGTCCTATGAGTGTTCAAGCGAGAGGTGGTTTCGAGTACTTCATTACGTTTATCGATGATTACTCGAGATATGGGTACATTTTTCTTCTGCACCACAAGTTTGAATGCTTTGAGAAGTTCTTAGAGTATAAGGCAGTTGTGGAGAAGCAGTTAGGAAAAAGTATCAAGTCATTACGATCAGATCGTGGTGGTGAATATCTCTCGAATAAATTTAGGAGCTACTTGACGGATAATGGGATTACGTCCCAGCTGACTGCGCCTGGCACGCCTCAGCAGAATGGCGTAGCAGAACGGAGGAACAGGACTTTTATGGAAATGGTTAGGGCAATGATGAGTTATAGTAGCTTACCAGATTCGTTTTTACGGATATGCCCTAGAAACAACAGTATACATTCTGAATAGAGTACCTTCTAAATCAGTACCGTCTACACCATTGGAGCTGTGGTCTGGGCATAAGCCTAGTCTAAGGCATCTCAGGATTTGGGGTAGTCCAGCACATTTGCTGGGAACCGATACTGATAAGTTGGAACCGAGAACAGAAGTAAGGCTGTTTGTGGGGTATCCTAAGGAAACGAAAGGTGGTCTATTTTATAGTCCCGAGGACCAGAAAGTAATCGTTAGCACGAATGCTAGGTTCTTGGAAGAAGACTATGTCTAAGATCATAAGCCCAGTAGTAGATATGTTCTTGAGGTGTTAAAGGGAGTGAGTACTTCAATACCGAGTACACTAGATGTTACACCACAAAGTACTGTAACACGTATCGCTGATGATGCACCTGAGCAGGTAGTACCTCGTCGTAGTGGGAGGGTTGTCCGGCAGCCCGAACGGTTCATGGGTCTGGGAGAGTCTTCTGAGGCCGTCCCGGACGTTCTTGAATCCGACCCATGGACATACAATGAGGCACTCCAAGATCGGGACGCAGAGTCTTGGCAAAAGGCGATGAAATCTGAAATAGAGTCAATGGACTCTAATCAGGTCTGGGATCTTGTAGAGCCACCCAGTGGTGTTCGCGCCATTGGATGCAAGTGGGTCTATAAGAGAAAGTGAGGAGCAGATGAGAAGGTTGAGACCGTCAAAGCTAGTCTTGTTGCAAAAGGGTACACTCAAAAAGAAGGGATCGATTATGAGGAAACCTTTTCGCCAGTAGCCATGCTCAAATCCATCAGGATTCTCTTGGTTGTGGCCGCTCATATGGATTATGAGATTTGGCAAATGGATGTTAAAACCGCTTTCCTTAACGGAAATTTGGACGAGGACATCTATATGCAGCAACTAGAAGGATTCATTGCAAAGGGCCAAGAGCATCTGGTCTGCAAGCTGAAGAGTTCCATTTATGGGCCGAAGCAGGCTTCGAGGTCTTGGAACATCCGTTTTGACGAGGTTGTCCAATCGTATGGATTTACCCAATGTCCGGATGAGCACTGTGTGTACAAGAAAAGTGATGAAAACGTGGTGGTGTTTCTAGTGTTGTACGTGGATGATATTCTTCTCAATGGAAACAATGTGAAAATGTTATCAGACGTAGAGGTATGGTTATCCCAGCAGTTTGATATGAAGGATTTGGGAGAAGTAGGACGTTCTCGGAATCAAAGTCATTCACGACCGAGAGAAGAGAAAGTTGTGCCTATCCCAATCCAAATACATAGACACTGTCATAAATCATTTCAACATGCAGGATTCCAAGAAAGGGGATTTACCCTTTCGGCACGGAATACCTCTAGTTAAGAGGATGTCCCCGAAGACGCCTCAAGAGGTAAAGGACATGATGGCAGTTCCTTATGCATCGGTAGTAGGAAGCCTCATGTATGCTATTTGTGCACGCGACCTGATATTTGTTATGCCGTGGGCATGGTAGCAAGATATCAGAGTAATCCAGGACCGGAACATTGGTCTGCGGTAAAACATATACTCAAGTGCCTACGTAGGACTAAGGAGTACATGTTGATTTACCAAGCAGATGAATTGCTTCCGTTGGGTTACACCGATTCTGACTTTCAGGCAGATCGGGACGAAAGCAAGTCAACCTCAGGGTTTGTGTTTACTTTAGGAGGAGGAGCTATAGTATGGAAGAGTGTCAAGCAGAAATGCGTGGCGGACTCAACCATGGAGGCTGAGTATGTAGCAGCCTCAGAGGCAGCGAAAGAAGCTGCCTGGCTCAGGAATTTTCTCCTCGACCTTGATGTGGTACCGAGTTTGCCCGCTGCAATCACAGTGTTCTGTGATAACAGCGGAGCAGTAGCAAATTCGAAGGAGCCAGAGACTCATAAAGCGAGTAAACACATAGAGCGCAAGTACCACCTGATACGAGAAATCGTTGGACGAGGAGAAGTCGTTGTTGCCAAGATACAATCAGAGGACAACATAGCATATCCTTTTACGAAGAGCCTACCGGCGAAAGTCTTTATAAGACACGTAGAAGGAATGGGAGTCAGATGTTAGGGCGACATAGTAGACTAGTCTTTGAGAATTAGATTTAAAGAAATTGTGGTTATTTTGTTTAGCCATGAGCTTATAAAGCATAAGTGGGAGATTGTTAGAGGTATGCTGTAAAAGCTATGTTTTGCAGATTCTATCAATTCCATTTTGATCTGGCCATCATGTTTCGGTCAAAGTACATATGTTTGCAGTTTATTTATTTATGCAAATCATACTCCATGTCTTATATTGAGATAGTGTGGTTCGAAGAGTTTCGAACAGAATGATCATCTATCGGTTCCTTATAAGACTAAACTATTCGTTCACAGTCTAGACAGGCAGTGAGACCCCTCTTGGAAAAAGACTGTAGTGTTGATATGGGATATTATATACACAAAGCTAAACCAGTCTTCTGGTCTGGTCGAGAAGGTTAAACCAAGAGGGAGCCGAGCCAAAAGGCGGGAAGATCGAACATTCAGGGAATCGACCAGACTAATGATCGAGCAATCCATCGCTCGACCAGACTAATGATCGAGCAATCCATCGCTCGACCACACTAATGATCGAGCAGGCTAGTCGATCCCAGCAGGGTGATCGCTTCGAGGAATTCGTAATCGACCTAGTTATGGGCGCGTGTATCATAGGCGCGCGTAGGAGCCTCTGACTGAAATCTCCAGAGAATATTTACCCCATGTGCTGGGGAAACACGTGTCGACAATGTATTGGGTGATGGTGATAACTACCTCTGACAACTCCCAACGTCCTGCACCACCCCTGACATGTGTGCGGCGTGTCAGAGTACGGACGGGTAGATTGGGCAGCCAGCTCACCTCATCCGGGCAGCTCTTAGGGCAGGTATCTCACCCCTATATAAAGGGGGTGAGCCTTTCTTCTCAAACACATTCTATTCATTCTCTCAATTCCAGTATACTCATATACATACTGACTTAAGCATCGGAGGCTCTTCGCCAGACACAACCCCCGGTGTGAGAGTTATTTGCAGGTTTCCGGCGTTCTACCGGTGAGGACCAAGACCTATCCGTTCAAACCGGACCAGGACGCTTACACTTGCATTATTGGCGCCGTCTGTGGGGATTCTTTGTTCAAAAAGTTGTGTTTGAAGCTCCGCTATGGCGGACGGAATTCCTAAAAACTTGCAGTCGACGTTCGACGAAGCTTGGACGACGACCAGGCCATTGGTGCACGGCCCTCCTCCGGGTTTCTCTGGCCCATCACAGACTCCGGTCACTCTCGCACCTAACTTCCAAGGTGTAGGGGTGACGACGGTGATTCCCGGCGGAGATGCCAGCTCCAGTCAGGCCCAAGAGGCTCGTGTAGCAGCGGCAGCGGCGATGCCACCACCACCACCACCAGATCTAACACAACGGCAGGGAGGAGTGCTGGCACAAGGAGGAGTGCCACCACAGGCAGCCGTACAAACCCCGGGCCAACAAATGGTGGCAATGACCCGGGAGGAGATGCAAAGGATAGCGGCGGCCGCGGCGGCGTAGGCGGTGCAGCAAGTTGCGAGTCATACTTCTCATGCCACCACTGCGCCGACCACGGTGGCCGGAATCCAGGATGAGGATGTGTCCAGTTATGGAGAAGGAGGAGCGGGAAGAGATCGGGCGATGGAGAGGATGGCGGAGCAGTTGCGCCAACTGCAAGATAAAGTGGAGGGGAGGCCAGAGAGGAGAGCTCGAGGACATCCCTTTTCAAGGGAGATTCTCGCTGCTCCGCTGCCAAACAATTTCAAGGAGACCAACTTGGTGTATGACGGGTCATCTGACCCATCGAGGCATGTGAGGACCTTTGAAAATATGGCTGTGTTGCATGGGTACTCTGATTCTGTTTGTTACAGGGCATTCTTATCGACTTTGCGTGGAGGAGCACTTGATTGGTTTCATCAACTTCCACCTGGGTCGATCACGAGCTTTGAGGACTTTACTGGCAAGCTTATTAATCAATATTCGAGCGCGGTGGTGCAGGAGAAAACGTATTAGACTTTGATGGCGATGAGGCAGGGGGAGAAAGAATCATTAAAGAAGTATGTTGCTCGATATAACCAAACATGCTTAGAGGTGCACTCGGCTTCGGACGAAGTGAAGGCGGGTGGATTGATAAGGAGTCTTCGAGCAGGGCCTTGCCAAACTTCCCTAGCAAAAACCCCTGCTCGATCATATGAGGATGTGCTGAAGCGGTGCAGGAAGTATATTAACTTGGAGGAAAAGGAGATGGAGTTTGCTAAGTTGGAGGGAGTGGCTCGACCAGAGCCAAAAAAGGAGAAAAGTCTGCAGAGGGGGAGATCGCCGAGGAGGAATTCGCCCAAGCGGAGTGGGCAGAAAAGGGCATCACCCCAAAGAGAGAGTCGAGATTCGAAAAGGGAGAAGAGGGATGAATGGCAGAGGAGGCCGATGTTGTTTGAGAGACAGAGATACCACACTTTCACGCCCTTGAGGAAAGACATGACGGAGGTTCTCGAGGCCATGGAGCAGAAGATGTCGAGTGAGGATGTGACTTGGCCGAAGACGAGGTTTACAGGCCCAATTCGACCTAGGTCGATTATTTACTGTCGCTTTCACCGAGATTATGGTCATACCACGGAGAATTGCAGACATTTGAAAGATGAGATCGAGAGGCTGGTTCGAGCAGGATACTTGAAAGAATTTGTGTATCATGATAGGGTGAAGGGGAAAGGAAGGAGAATGTGTAGGGAAGACTCGGAAGAAAGGAGCGATAGAGATGAGGAGGGAGATGGTCGAGACGGTCGAGGAAAGAAGCCAAGGAGAGATGGTGATAAGGGAGGACGTGGAGGGGAGGCCCCGATGAAGATATGAAGTATTTACATGATTTCCGGTGGGCCAACTGATGGTGACTCGAATAGGGCCAGGAAGGAGCATGCTCGAGCGGTGAAGAGGAAGAGAGAGGAGGTGGGAATTACGGCCCGTAT